GGGAGGGGCGGGGGCCGGCCTGCCAGTGGCTTGCTGGCTCATGTTTTGGGGCCACTGGGTCAGGGGCAGTGACAGCTGGTCTGGGCTGGCAGGCTTGGAGCTGGCACAGGCACTGTGGCCAGAGTCTACCCCTTTAAGGGCTCTGGGGAGGGGGAAGGGAAAGGAGTGTTTTTGGTTGAGGCTGGAGGCCACCAGGGCACCCTGGGAAGGCTGGAGGCCCCCTATTTTGATATAGGTGTCTACACAGCACTTATTTTGAAATAGCTATTTCGAATTTAGCATTATGCCTCGTGGAATGAGGTTTACCAAATTCGAAATAAGCATTTCTACAAATGGCTTTGTAGATGCTAGTAAAGTTATTTCAAAATAAAGCTGTTATTTTGAAATAACTTTGCTTTGTAGACATACCCTGTGTCAGCAACATTAGCAAATGCATGTAATTTTGTTTTAGGAAAAACATAAGTCAAGTGTGCAGGAAAGAACTGGAGTTTGCATATAGAGAAACAATCTACTGTCTCTGTTGTTACACTTTCAAAGATACAGGGCAGAAGAATGGACATCCTGCACTTACCAGCCAGCGTTGTGGGGAAATCCGATGACATAGGTAATGTTTCACTGAGTGAGGAGGACACTAGAAATAAAACAAATAAGCTAATAGCTTTCTGTGTGAAACTACAAACAATTGTGATTAGGATTTATGGTACGTCACTGATAAAACTGATTTTACTTTCTGCCTCTGAAAAATGGCTGAACCCCTACCACACTCACCTGGATATATTATAATATTGGATGCGCCATTCCATGCAGTCAAATTAATTATTTGCTCAGGAAGAACTGTAAAGCTTGATATCACTTGGATGCCTTTAGCACCAACAACAAGACAGTCTGGGTTGGAATTTCCAGAAGACACTGGAATCAAGAGTTATAGAGTTAGTTTTTGAGCACCTGGATCCAGCCCTTCCTGCTCTCAGTGGTATTCTCTTTGTACACAGAGAGACATACTGTTTACCGCATATATAAAATAATAAGGTGATGCTGCTCTTGGTGGGGTTTGTGACACAGAAGGTTAATATGCATAAGGCTACCGGACATAAGTGAACCTGTTATGAAGTCTGAGTCTGTTTCCCTTTAAGTGGTTATAACTTACAAGACTCATGCATTACCACAACCTTTCCAAGTGATTATGCTCACAGCGCAGCAAAGAAGTATCTAGTCCAGAGTTTAGTCCTAGAGTCCAAGTGTTTATTCTGATGATGCAATGCTTGTTACCTGATCACCTGTCACAGCTCTGCAGCAGGTAGGACTTCTGCAGAGCTGGTGCTGTGTTAACTAATATCAGCTACCTAATGTCAGTTTCTCAGTTGGCTCCAGACTCAGTACCGCAACTCCTAAAACTCGCTGGCTCAGCAGATTTTGACAAATACAGGAGTTGTACAAATCATAGAAAAACTAACTGAGCCTCCAAAGCCTTTCCCAGGGACGCTGGCAGAAAAAAACAAAGTCAAAATGCAAATAAAGACCTGCTCAAGTACTGCTTTTATAGTGACCATTAATTTTACTACATATTGCACTTCTGTAAACCAGGAATCTCTGATCCAGCAACATCCACTGTCTGGCAGGACCATGGATGTTCCAGGATCACAGAGTCCCCACGCACTGCAGGGGGTGGGGGAACCCAGTGCAATGCAAGGGAGGCCTGGGAGCCTGGCCCAATGCGGGGTGGAGGAACGGGATGGGGAGAGCACAAGGTGCCCGGACCAGCTGGAGATGAGAACTGGCATGTGGCCCAGCTGGGTTGCGGAGGGCCGTGGGAATCCAAATGTGCGCAACCCATCTGGGCTGCCTGGGAGAGCCGGGGAGCCCAGCACACATCCCAGCTTGGCTGCCATGTGAGCTGAGAAGCCCAATGGGGTGGGGCTGACAGTAGGGGGGTCAGAAATGACCTTTCCTGGTCTTGCAAAATCCCCCATCCAGGACCAGTCAGATCCCGCAGGTTCTGGACCAGAGAGGTCCAAGCTGTAACTATCATAGAATGAATTAAACAATCAGTTTCTGAGTGCTGCATTCAAAGGGATTTTCACTCTTGCTCTTCCTTGGACTGAGCAGAGAAAGAGTAGTTTCTGAATGAGGAGGGAATCCCTGCCTCTCCATCTTGTGGGAATGAAGTGAAGGGGGTCCAGCTCTAAGGCCCTAGTGGGACAGGAAACAGCTTTCCAGCAGCCCTTTGCAACTGTATGAGGTACAGAGACGCCCTACCAGCATTGTGTGGAGGAGATGGATGCATGCTACAGTGAAGGGTTTGGCAAAGAGTTTTACTGTTTCTCTCTATTGTATAAGGGTAGAAAGCTGTAATTAATACTGTACATACCTGACATCACAACATTTTTTCCATTTGGACTTATATTGGTAACAGAAAACGGCATGTTCAGGTAAGACGAAGAGGTAGAGTTAGCTGGGGAGCAGTTCAGAGGCATTGCCACAAAACTGCCATTGACTGGAGACCTGGGGGACTCCACTTTGAAAAACAAAGAGTATTAAAGGATGTTAGTTTTTTACAAAAGTCAGACAGATCATAGAAGAACTTGCAGCCGATGACATAAGTCACCCAATTAATCAAATTAGCAAAGTATTTTGAGCTGCCAAAAATTGGTACCTGAAGTCTATACTGAGTACAGATTTCATGTAGCACAGCTAATGTGGCTGTAGAAATAGAGTGTATATGTCAAAGTTTCTTCAGGGTCTTCACTAGTTTAAAAGAAGAGGTTCAGAGTTCCTGGCCTGTCTTCCTAAATAGCTTCAGGCATGTAAATATGCAGACTCGGTGTAAATTATTACCAAGTATGAGGTAATGAGCCAATACGATAGCTTGTTGTGCTCAGTTTCCTAGACATGGTCCACTGCCTTATGTGCTGCACAAGATCCAGGAAGCCGCAGATGGTAAGGCCCCACATTTTGGCTGCCTGCCTAGGTCTTACTGGGCTAGTCAAGGTAACCAGGCTTCCTTAGATAAACAATAACAATCTTTCTTTAGACAAATGAAACCATTTCTTGTGCCTGCCTGAATAACAAACTTGGTAACTTATCAGGGGTTTAAAAGGCATCTGTCTTGCATAGAGTATTTGTTCCACAGTCAGGTCCTTCTTGTGTATTACTCTGTGCAGCACTTATTAAAGCAATTAGAAATAGCTTTAAATGTAAGAAATATTTGTCCTTGTTTATTTTGAAATGATCTGCTAATGAGGCACAGGTGCAATACTGTACGTTTTGCTGACTGCAACACTTCCAGAATGTTTGGGCTAGTCTCTAGTACATGGTGACAATAACAATACAGTAGGATTTCCTTGGAATCTCAGCTGCATATAATCAATATATAAATAATAAGTAATAACAACAACTGTTTCCATTTTATTTAGAACTTGGGTAAAGTTGCTCTCACTTTATCAAATGCAAAAGGTTACTAAGCATTTTCAAGGTGCTTACCTCTATCCTGGCAAGTGGCTCTTATATTCCCAACAGCTCTGCTGTCTTCTGTACATACTCCTTCCTTCACCCGCTTTGCTGCTTCTGTTAAGATGAAGAGAATGACACTGAGCGCAACCTCTATAAATTCCACACAAATATGTTCTACTTTGTAAAATGTCAGTGTTAGTGATACAAAGTGTGCCTTGGATTGCACACTACTGCCCAGGATCTGAGCCATGAGGACTCTGGGACATCTTTTTGTTATGAGCATCAATAACATTTAGCACTCCAATCCTCAATGGACGATGTGTGCAAAATACATCCTTCTAAATGCAGGCAGTAAAAAAGAAATTATGTGCATGGTTTAAAGTCAATACTGTGGCTTAATCCATGGGCAATTTATATGTGATCCAGGAGCTTCTGTAAAAATAAGGAATGTGCTACCCAGCTACACTACAAATAGCGGGTAACCATTCATCAAGGACTTTATTAAGTTTTTCAAGTCTGTCAAATGTGTCCCATATGACGGGTGGCACAATTCCTTTGCATTGTTCACAAAACTCCAATAGATACTGGCCCTTTCAAGAGACAGGGCCATGCTTCCTGGAGTAGGAATCCTGCTATCCTATCACTCTCTCACTGGGCTTCTGGACTGCCAACACTGATATGCACAGGCCTTGGAAGCTTGGTACCTGCAAGAATTTCCCTCTGGGAGTCTGTAAGCAGTTTGCAATGAAGCAGTTTCTTCAAAACAATGTATGCAAAGAGGCTCCTAGCACTCAGAGCAATGGATTTTAAACCTAGTGACTTGACTATTTCTGGCCATTTACACAAGCTCCTAGATAGATAGGTTGTAGCCTTGGTGTCTCCCATTCTCTTGGGGACCAAGCTGTAGCCTGCTTACTGCAGACTCTGCCTGGGATCAGTCTGTGTTAGCCTACAGCAGGCAGTAACTCTCCACCACCTCTCCACATCTGCTGGGCAGATCTTTTAATTTGTCAGTGTCCCTAACCCTAACCAGAACCCATATCCTCTTCCACAACCCAACTCCTGCCCCAGCCCAGTAAAAGTGAGTGAGGGTGGGGAACAACAAGAGATGGAGGGAAGGAGGATGGAGTGAGTTGGATGGAGAAGGAACAGGGCAGAAGATGGGGCATGAATGCTCCATTCTGTGTGCCAGAGAGCAACACAGTGTGCAGGAGATTCTGAGAGGGAAGGGGCGGAACAGAGATGAGGCATACTGGGGTGAGGGGGTGGGAAGAGGTGAGGCAGTGGGAAAGTAGGGATGGTAAGAGGTGGGGCAAAGGTGGGATCTTGAGGGAAAGGATGAAGTAGGGGTGTTGCTAGGGCTGAGCAGAGGTTGAACACCCCCAGGGAAAATTGGAAGCTATCCCTGTGCAACTAATCTAGCACATCCCTTTTGCACACACACACACACACACACACACACACACACATCGTAAGAAGTAACACAGATATTTCAGTTTTCTCATCTGCTAGATGAAATCAGAAATGTTTGATTGTATCTCGTAGGCCTTCTGTTGTTAGTGGAGTTCTTCATTCATTCAAACGATGGATGCCTGTGCTTTTGGAACAGTACTATCCAAGTTCTACCCTGCCATCATGCATTTCCAAGGTGTGCAGTACTATGACCACTGATGCATCTAGGAGGTCATAAGTTTGTTACAATATCAATTAAATTTGGGTTTACAGATTAATGGCAGCATATGGCCCCTAACACAACCTGTACATCAAGCTAGATAAACCAACTACCATGCATCACCATATCAATGCATCCAACTTTTTGCAGGTGTGCAGGAGCTACAGTACTTCTGTTTAGTACCCTAATAGCGTGCTGGACATCAGAACAACAGAAAAAGTGCACTCAAAATCCTTCAGCTAATAACTCACCTGTTCTCCTGCATTTGGGCTTGGAAGCATCAGAGTAATTCTCTGCAGTGTTCACGAATGCTAGAAGTAAAAAAGTTTATAGTCAGTGATGGTTGAATCTAGTTTGACAATTTAAGGTTTTAGTGAAGCTTAATTTATACACGTCAAATAAAATGGGGAATTAGCAGGGGCATAACAAGAGTTCTGTGCACTCTATGACAAGCTGACCCTATGGCAAGATCTGCTCTTTGGGGCACAATCTCCCCAAAATTGCACCATTTCATTGCGTCAGACTAGAATTTCCAGTCCCTTCGAATATGTGCTAACTACTTATGCTTAACAATTTATTCCACCTTGTGTTTAGCTGTGATGCTCAGAGTACATTTCCCAGTCCTTAAGAAGAGCTCTGTGTGGCTCGAACACTTTTCTCTCTCACCGGCAGAAGTTGGTCCAATAAAAGATATTACCTCACTCACTTTGTCTCTCTAGAAATTCTGAGACAGCTTCAAGCTACCTCAGGAGTGGAGCTTTTTAGTGTATTAAATATGAAGGTCTGGGTTATTTTACTCTGACCCTACATTTTTGAATAACCTGCAGATTTTTGTACAGATAACCCAGAATGATTAGTGGATTTGTTTGGTTTTTTTTTTAAATAAAAAAGAAATAATGCATTTGATACTTATTAAACCATAATTAATAAATAGCAAAATTAGAACATTGCCACAAAACAAGGCTAGAGTTCATAAAAGTTGAAAACATGCTCACAGAGCCATGTTACAAGTCAACAAACTATTGGCAATATAAGGAGCATGTTTTAAATTGGTTTGAATGTCTATCAAAGGAAGAGTGGACAAGTCACACCTGTTTAAGTGGGCATGGCTCCTCCTGATTCAGAAGAGTTGCAGCTACTTATGCAAATAAATAATTTGGCATAAAAGGGGCACCAATGCTTCTTTAAAAACAAGTGTTCCTGCCATGCAGGTAGTTTATGATTGCAAGGGAGATGTTTTAAAACACTACAGCCACATAGGTGAATTGCTTCTGGAAGTGCTGCAAATGCTGTTTCACTTACATCGTTTCTGACATTTTTGCTTCTTTATCTCCATAAAACCCTCTGTAGTTTCATTCGACATTTCATCCAATATGAGTTTTCCTATTAAACAAAACCAAATTGTTGCCAAATCTGAATCAATAGGATCCCCAAGGATACTGCAAAGTTAATAATTAAATTCAAGCACCAAATGCAAACAGAGTCTCTTGAAATAAGGCTAAATCCTGTAAATAAAAGATTGGGCATGTATGTGTACAGTAAAGTGTACATCGAAATCTGCACAGGTTGGAACTTCCATGGAAATCATAGTCAGCCACCTTTAGTGAACTTTCTCAGTGCAGAAGATGGTCATGCACTCAAGAGCCTCACTGTTAAATTTAAATGTTTCACAATGTTCTAGTGAGTAGTAGATGGGACTAGAAATCACAGCTCTTGGGTTCTCTCCCAAGCTGAAACACAAACTTGCCATGTGACCATAGCCAATCACTTAAAGTGTGCCTCAGTCATATATCCCCCCAAAAAAGTTCTAAAACACAAAGGCTATGTCTACACTGGCATGATTTTGCGCAAGAACTCTTTCACAGAAGAGTTCTTCTGCAAAAACTCTTCCAGAAGAGAGCGTCTACACTGGCATGTGCCTTTGCACTAGAGATGTGCTTTTGCGCAAGAGCATCCATGCCAGTGTAGATGCTCTCTTGCGCAAGAAAGCTCTGATGGCCATTTTAGCCATAGGGCTTTCTTGCGCAAGAAATTCATGTTGCCTGTCTACACTGGCCTCCTGCGCAAGAATAGTTGCACAAGAGGGCTTATTCCTGAGCGGGAGCATCAGAGTTCTTATGCAAGAAGCACTGATTTCACACATTAGAACGTCAGTGTTCTTGTGCAAGAACTCGCAGCCAGTGTAGACAGGCAGCAAGTTTTGCGCAAAAGCGGTTGCTTTGGCGCAAGATTGCACCAATGTAGACACAGTGAAGGAGTCAAACAGAATTTCTAGAGAAATAATTTGTGTTATCAGTAGGGTTACCATGTTTGAACTTTCAAAAAAGAGGGCACTCCTGAGAAGGCTTGTATCTGTATCAATATCTACCAACTCACGTTGTATAAATGTGTTATACTGTATTAATACACATGAGTTGGTAGATACAGATACAGATACAGATACACACCCTCTAAGGAGTGTTCTCTTTTTTGAAAGTTCAAATATGGTAACCCTATTATCAGAATAAATATGTTGCCAGGTTCATTCTTTAATTTAAACTACAAATACTTCAAACATTGGACACAATCTTGTTTCCCCTGACATCAACAGGAATTTCACTATTAACTAATAAGAACAAAATCCAAGCCAAATATGCACCAAAGCAGGATAAAAATAAGTAATGTAACTTAAAAAATGTTAATAGGAAGCATGTAAACATTGTCCCAATTGTGCAGCTGCTGCTCCATACTACCATGCATAGACCAAGAACAGAGGTGGCCACTAAGTGGTCAGATGCTTCATTTATCGAGAATCCACAGGGCACTGTGTTTGCAGCTCCCATTGGCATGGTTCACTGTTCCTGGCCAGTGTGGGCCATGCAAAGTAGTGGTCCAACCTGTGCTGCTTCCTGCAACTCCCATTGTCCAGGAACAACGAACTGCAGCCAACGGGAATTGCGAGTGGCTAGACCTGCGGATGCTCAGGTAAATAAAGTGTCTGAGGCCCAACTTAATGGCTAGAAGGGACTATCATGGTTATATAGTCGGAGCTCATTATACTTCCCTTTCATAAATTCATCAAGATCAGCCCTTAAACCTGTTAAGTTTTTTGTATGCACTGTTCCCCTTGAAAGGGCATTCTATAACTTCAACTAACTTCTAGACTAAACGTATTGATAGCCATTTTATATTCAGTTGTTCTTGTCTCAGCATTGGCACTTAATTTAAATAACTCCTCTTGCTCCCTGAAATTTCTCTCTCTGACATATTTATCGAGAGCAATCATATCTAAACTTTACTGTTTGTGTAAAAAATCTTACCAAAAATGTCTTCCATCTGTCTCTCCTGCTGATCTTTGAGCACATATTCTGCTAATCCAGCTAACAAGAAGAGGGGAGAAGAGAACAGTGTGATGGTAAATTATACTGTTCAGAACAAATTATTGTAGATTATTATGACGTATAAAAGTCCAAGATCTGAAAGGAGACTCAGAAATGTATATTAGTTTTACTTATTAAATAAATAGTGTTCAGGACATGCAAAGCACTTGAAATTGGAAGTTAACACAGAAAGTGTTGATCAGGGAAGTATCATTAATAGAAGGTTTTTTTCTCTTTGCCAACCAAAATATATCAGGTAGTCAATAGTGAGTATTTCACCCATGAGATGTACAAACTGTTTCAAATATACTAGCTGGCATATTGTGTGCATATGTGTGTATGAAAGAGAGAGAGAGAGAGAGAGAGTGAGAGTTTTTAAGTCTCTGCTTGACAAAGCCTTGGCTGGGTTGATTTAGTTGGAATTGGTTCTGCTTTGAGCAAGGGGCTGGACTTGATGACCTCCTGAGGTCTCTTCCAGCCCTATGATTCTATGATTCTATTAGAGAGAGAGGGTATGTCTACACTACCCCGCTAGTTCAATCTAGCGGGGGTAATGTAGTCATCCGCAGTTGCAAATGAAGCCCGGGATTTGAATTTCCCGGGTTTCATTTGCATGAAGCCGGCCGGCGCCATTTTTAAATGC